GCCCCCCAGATTCTGCTGTGCGTGTTTTTCCTTGGTGTATTTTAGATCATATGGAATAAGCCTAGTATTTTCATTTGATTTTATTCTTGTAAAAATAATCTAATAGAATATTTGAATTTATCTGAAGATGTGCAAGCATGATTCTCTTTGCTGTGGTGGATACGTCAGGGGTCTTGAAATTTACAATCATCCATACTAATTTCCATGTTATAAACTTCCATAATCAAGAGAGTGGCACTTGGAAACGGAGACTTGGGTTAGCAGAGCTTTTAGATTATAGCTGAGGAATGCCACAGAATTTCTTTCAATGTGACACTGTATTTTTTCCGAGTCCCACGGTGTAATGGTAAACATAATCTTTAAAGGCACACTGTGGTGTAAATATAGCATAGGGAGAAGTGTTTTTGCTGGGTCTGGAGAAAAAAATTTTTTTCCCAGCCAGGTTATCTGTAGAATATCCTGGCCTCAAACTCAAAGAGATTCCCCTGCCTTACGCTGCCAGGTGCTTGGATTAAAGGTGTGCACCATACTACCGGCCTTTAAACCACCCGGAAGGTGGAGGCACGAACAAAGCGTCAGCTGGAGACTGGTCAGGTGTACATCATTACTTCAAGGAGAGTTGTCACTACACAAAAGACCATGTTTCAAGGGAAAATAGAGAAATAAAGTGAAACTGCTAGGAAAAGCTTTTAGCTTTAGTTGCATAGGGCTGTGGGTCACAGAGAGGGTCTAGGTTCAATTTGTACAAGAAACAAAACCTATATCCTTCCACTGCTCTGGCCTAAGTGGCAGCACAGGCCTTCAGGAAAGTTTACTTTTCCCTGAGGATGACCAAATATGCTGATTATCTTTTTGCTTTTCTCTTCTCAGGGGAAACGGCAATACCTCTGGATTTGTTTTTATGTTTCTGCTGTTGGATTTTTGGTAGTATTCATTTTCTTTGTTTTTGAGAAATAGTGGTTTGCTGTCTTTCTCATAGATGATTACTTTCCAGTTCTCCTGTAATTATCTACTCTTCCCTTTAAAGTTATTATTCCCATGTTCTCATGGCTCTGACTCTCATGCATGTGTTTTTCCTCTAATTCATTATCTGCAGTGCAGTTTTCATGAAATCAATTGTGTTATTGCTGAGTTAGTCTCCATCAATTTTAAGAGAGTAGTGTTCTTTGTGCAACAAGGTGCTCGGATGGTGATTTTTCTCTTCAAACTTCAAATGTCTTTCCATGTTCTCCATTCTTTAGGATCATTGACCAGACACCTGGTCATATTCTCTTTCTTGGGACTTTTCATGTGATTTGACATTGTTCTCTGACAGGTTTCAGTATTATTCGTACATTCTGACCCTTTATTTTTTTTATAGGCAATTCAGCTATATGTTAATTGCTCCAGAAAGAGAAACTCAAAGAAGTGAAACAGTAAGAAATGGGTAGTTCTCCAGTAAGTATGTCACAGGTCAGTCGTCACGTGCGATTTCATATTTCACAGCTGAATATATTTTGATTTACTTATCCACCACCCAAACCCCAAAAACCTTTGACAGAATTAGCACTAAAAAAGCTCTTAGCTTAAGTTTAACTTTTCCATAACTGCTGTTCATTTCCTGCATTGAGTCCCAGATAATTTAACCTTCCTGTTCTCTTTTCTCCAAGTTACACTGTGTCCTCATTAACATTCTTCCTATATACACATGTGATTGGGAGATAATGCACGTGATCAAAAACATGGTGTTTCTTTCTGAAAGTGATGACTGCACTGAGTATTACACATCTGTTCATTTTCCTGAAATTTTTTTTCTCTTTAGCTGAAATGTACACAGCTTTATATACTTTTAATAATACATTCACTCATCTGTTGATAGATAAAGCTTTGATTCTAGTACTTTCCCTTTCGTGATAAAAACAGCAGCAAAGATGGGGTACAAATATCTATAGTGGTGGTGGGGGGGTGTTGTTCTCTAGGGTATATGGCCAGGAGTGAAAGAGCTGTGTCATATGTTAGTTCTCTCTTCAGTTTTTTTTCAGTAATCTCCAAATTGTTTCCCACAATTAATTAATTACACCTTGTATTAATTTGTATTAATTTACACTTTCCCCTCCATCAACAGTGAATAAGGCTTCTTTTCCCTTCCTGTGCTATCTCACCTTTATTGTCAGTTTAGTTGATAACAGACATTCTGTCTGTGGTGGGGCAGTATTTCCACATAGTTTTAATTTGTATTTCAATGTTAACCTTTTTGTGATCCTGAGAACTTTTTCAATGTTTATTGGCCAACAGACTTTCTGTCTTTGAAAACTGTCTGTTTAGCCCATTTGTTGATTTGCAATTTTATTTTCTTGGTATTAATTTAATTTCTGATAAATTCTTTATATTAGCATTATTCAAAGTTTCACTGGTATGGATTCACTTACCTATGCCTTAATAATTTTTGATGTATTTTTTTGGAATTCCTATTTTTTTGTGGTGTGTGTGTGTGTGTGTTTGATTTTTTGAGATAGAGTTTCTCTGTGGTTTTGGAGACTGTCTTGGAACTCACTCTTGTAGACCAGGCTGGTCTTGAACTAAAATAGTTCCATCCGCCTCTGCCTCTTGATTGCTGGAACTAAATGCCTGTGCTGCCAAGTCTCGGCCCAATTTTTATTAGTTTGTGAGTGAAGTGAAATTCTCAAAAATTTCTAAAATTGTCATTTGTCTCGGTTGGCTTATGCATATTCTTAGGAAAATTTTGGATTGTAACCAATATTGATGATGCTGATTTTTCTCTCTTTATACTGACCCAAATATTGTGATAAAATTAACTCCATAGGCTATTTACCCTATATGTGAATGTACTACTGTTACACTTGGTGCTACTGTGGAAAAAACCCAAAAGTCTTGTCAATAAAATCAGTCATATATTCTTCTATGCCTTCCTCTTTCCTAATTTATGGTGTGACATTGGACCTAGAGTGCAAACATCCAACCTGAGTCTGTTAGAATAGAGTCATATGAGGAACAAATACAGACAGGAATGATATGTGTCAGTGTTTTCAAATGATCTACAGACACAGCATTTAAAGCAGAGACATCTACAATGGGATCCTATGTAACATAAACACCTCATCCATAACAGAGAGATATCCATGTCAAGATCTTAAATTTATTTCTTTTCGCATGTATACTGCTTGTAATACAGTTGTTTCATCCTGTTTTTACAGAAATACATCATTCATGATAGAATGGGACTGTATTGAGATATTTTATTTTTGAGTAATTATCTTAGTTCCTCCTCTACATTGTGTTGCCTTCTATCCAGGAAAGCACATCCAAGTAGCACTTGGTCAAACCATACTTTTTTATTTCAGGGTGTGTTGACATTCAGGGATGTAGCAGTGGACTTCTCCCAGGAGGAGTGGGAATGCCTCGACTCTGGTCAGAGGGCTTTGTGCATTGATGTGATGTTGGAGAATTACAGCAACCTGGTCTTTGTGGGTGAGAATATTTTGCTTCTTGAATGTCCAACCTATCTTTTGCATTCCACATTTTATTTTGGTTCTAGGATTCATCCATAGACTCAGTAACATATAACACTTGCACTCATGTCTTAAAGCTTCTTGTCTATTACTACAATATTATTACTTACAATTTTTTTATTGTAAGAAAAATTCAAGATAAATAACATGGAAAACACTAAATATACTGAGCAATTTGACAACAAATATCAATATAGATAACTTATTTTAAGTTCCTCTACTTTATGTTGTCATATACTGAGCCCAGTACTGTGTTAGACTTCTTTATTATTTCTGAAAGTTCTGGCATGGGTTATGGACTGCCTGATAGTACTGGTGTATTATTGCATGGAAGGTAATCGTGACTAACCGTCTGGAATGAATGAGATTGCCCTTGAAAGAAGAGAGAAAGGAGTAGCCTCAACTAGAATGGACTTTTGAATAAGCAAGAGAACAGTGAAGGCTTCAAATGAAAGAGAAAGCAAGAGCTGAGAATGTGTTTCTGATGTTCACTTTCACTTGATAGTATTCCTGGTCATTTAACTTAGTATACTGTCCTGGCTGCAGGATGCATCCTGTCTGTTGTAATGTCTGTGGAGGGCTTTCTGCATTATTACACCTGTGTTGTGGTGACTTAATTCCATTAAGAATACAGTCTTATTTGATTGTGTTGAAATTGGACACAAATAATATTTCAAATTTTTAAGTCTATCTTGGGTCTTTGAAGTAATGTTATTCTGTAATTGCCTTCTTTGTATGCATAACTTCCTATTACATCCTTCATTATTCCCAATGGAGAATGCATATACATTCTCAGTGAAATAATCTCAGGAGTCAGAGTGGACCTGAAAATAACCCTATGAGGAACATTAAGAAACACAGTAGTGTGTGGAGCTCTGAGACAATCTGACAGAAATAACCAATAGCTTCGCATGACAGGCTAGCTGAAACAAGCTAAACCCTGTGATTTCTGGCAAAATATGGTCTTTGCATCCATTACTAAGTATAAATACTGTAAACCTGGGATGGGATTACACTCCTCTTCATTAATTGCTGAGAAAAATATTGAAAGATAGAAACATGTATTCTAAATATAAACCCTCAGTTTTCTCTATCCTACAGCTAATTCACAAGCATCAATTATTATTTTGATCTTTTTCCAGGTAGAGATTTTGAGAATTATGAGTTATCTGTTTTAAATCACTGACCTTTGAAGGCAGCCATGACGTGTTTGTGAGAATCCATATAATTATAGTGATTGCAAACTGTCCCTTACTAGGATTTAATCTCAAGAGTTCCAGTTTTACTTAGGTTAAATAACAACTTAGGGAAACAGTCATTTAGTCCATATTTATTGTTGACACAAGCCCTATTAATCTGAAGTTACTCAATTTCAGAGAAGTATCAAAAATCTGATCCTGTCCGTCACCATGTGAAGACTGAAAAGGAGTCTTGTCAGTGTAATGAGCTTGGCAAAGTGCTGCATGACCCCTCCACATGTTCACATCATAGAACAAGTGAAACTACAGAAAACTCCAAGAACTACACATGCAGTAATCACAGCGATGCCTCTGGTGACTCATCAGACCCAGATAGAGATGAAAGTATGTACACTGGAGAAGAACCTTGCCGATCTATAGACAGTGAGAAATTTTTAAATGTGAGTTCCAACTTTACTGAAGTACAGAGACTCTGCACTGCAGACAAGGAGCACAGGCAAGAAGAAGGTGACGACACTTTGAGCTCTGCAACCAGGATTTTGCATCGAGCAGTCTACATTGAAGAAAATCCATACCAATGTGGGAATTGCAAGAAATGCTTCAGGTCTGCCTCCTACCTCAATGATCATGAGAGAATTCACACTGGAATTAAACCCTGCCAGAGCAACATTAGTGAACAATCCTTCACCCAGCATTCCAGTTGTAAAATACACCAAAGCCTACATATTGTGGATAAACCTTACACATGTATGGAATGTGACATGTCGTTAACTTGGGATTCACAATTTAGAAGACTTAAGAGATTTCATACAGTAGAGAGACCTTACTGTTGTATGCAATGTAACAAGTCCTATACCCAGGTCTCACGTCTTAGAGCACATCAGAGAATTTGTACTACAGAGAGACCTTACAAATGTATGGAATGTGACAAGTCCTTTACCAGGAATTCAGGTCTGAGAAGACATCGAAGAGTTCATACTAGAGAGAGACCTTACAAATGTATGGAATGTGACAAGTCCTTTATCTGTGATTCAAAACTTAGAATACATGAAAGAGTTCACACTGGAGAGAGACCTTACAAATGCAAAGAATGTGACAAGTCCTTTACCCACAACTCACAACTTAAAATACATGAGAGAGTTCACACTGGAGAGAGACCTTACAATTGCATAGACTGTGGCAAGTCTTTTACCCAGCAGGCACATCTTAAAAAACATCACACAGTTCATACTGGAGAAAAACCTTACAAATGTATGCAATGTGACAAGTCATTTTTCTGTGATTCAGATCTTAGAAAACATCAGAGAGTTCATACTGGGGAAAAACCTTACAAATGTATGGAATGTGACAAGTCCTTTACCCAGAACTCACATCTAAGAACACATCAGAGAATTCATACAGGGGAAAAACCTTATAAATGTATGGAATGTGACAAATCCTTTACCCAGGACTCACATCTAAGAACACATCAAAGTATTCATACTGGAGAGAGACCTTACAAATGCAAAGCATGTGACAAGTCCTTTACCTGGAAGTCACAACTTAGAACACATGAGAGAGTTCACACTGGGGTAAAACCTTATAAATGTATGCAATGTAACAAGTGCTTTACCCGGATCTTACTTCTTAGAGCACACCAGAGAATTTGTACCAGAGAGAACCTAACAAATGTATAGTACGTGACAAGTCCTTTACTTGGTATTCAGGTCTTATAAGACATCAAAGAGTACATACTAGAGAGAGACCTTACAAATGTATAGAATGTGACAAGTCCTTTACCAGAACTCACAACTTGGAACACATGAGAGACTTGATATTGCAGAGAGACCTTACAAATGTATGCAATGTGACAAGTCCTTTACCTGGAACTCATAACTTAAAAAACATCAAATAGCTGGGCGTTGGTGGCGCTCGCCTTTAATCCCAGCACTCGGGAGGCAGAGGCAGGTGGATCTCTGTGAGTTCAAGGCCAGCCTGGTCTCCAGAGCGAGTGCCAGGATAGGCTCCAAAGCTACACAGAGAAACCCTGTCTCGAAAAACAAAAAAACAAAACAAAAAAAAACATCAAATAGTTCATACTGGAGAGAGACCTTACAAATGCAAAGAATGTTCAAGTCCTTTACTTGGAACTCACAACTTAGATCAAATCAGAGAGTTAATACTGGGGAAAACCTTACAAAACTATGCAATGTGACAACTCCTTTACCTGGATCGCACAATTTAGAAGACATCAGCGTTTACACTGAGCAGAAACCTTACACATGTATTGAACGCTAGATGTCCTTTCCCAGGATGTCACATTTTCAAGACATCAGAGGGTCCATACTGGAGAGAGACCTTGGAGTTGTCAGGAATGTGACAAATCTTTCATTAGATGCAAACATCTTAGAACTTGTCAGAATATTCATACTGGAAAGAAAACTTTCAAATGCCAAGACTGACATTACTTTTAGCCATATTACAAGTCTTAACAGATGGAAAGAAAAGTCCCATTGCCAATACAGTGACTTGCCATTTTCTGACATTCTCAGTGTACAAATAACAACAGTATACATAATAGAAACATAAAGATAAGAAACATATGAAAATTTTTTTTGAGTTAAATCTTAGAAAATATCAGAGTTTATGCCAAATTAATATTTTCTCAATGTTCCTGCAATAAAGTCTTCCTATATGTTTTACTGAGTATGTGTGTTTTGCCTGCGTGTTTTACTTTGCACTGCTTGAATTCCTGCTGTGGGTGGAGGCCAGAATCCCCAATGATTGGGTTTCAGACAAATATGAGTTGCTGTGTGTCGGTAATCAAATCCATGCCCTCTGAAAGAGCAGCCTGGGTTCTTAACCACTAAATGATATCTCCAGACCCTAGGAAAAGCTGTCAAAAACATTTTTCTTTGTTCAACATCCAAAGATTCCTAACAGTGTCAGGCATGATAGTGCAAGCCTTTAATGGCTCACTCAGGAGATAGGCTTTGGAGGTTGCCTGAGTTAGAGGCCTTTGTGATGTACAGAGTGAGTTCCAAGACAACAAGGATTGCATTAATCCTGTCTCCAAACAAAAAAATCGCAATACAGACAAAATTAATTTTGTCTCTAATTTTTCTGTGCATCTCAAAAGTCATGCTTCTGACCAGCCATATGAAAATATACTTTTGTAATTGCCATCTTCTTGTTTATTGGAGAGACAGGCCAAGAAAAAGAAGGAAATATCAAAAGTAGACCAGGTCCATTTTAAAAGGGAAATTAGTGAATGTGCACAGGTAGTGCTCTTGGGGGTTGCAGCTATGAGCACATCCTCTCAGAACCCTGAGGGCAGGACAGTACAGATTCCTGAATACAAACACCTGCCCAGGGACTTATTTCCCTTGTTGGTGGGATGTTGGGATTAGGGAGGTGTAGCTAGGAGCAGGCAGCACAGAAGAGGTTGGGGATGATTGGGCATCCAGAGCAGCTGGGGATTTGAGTTTCTTCCTGAGGAGCAATGCTGCCCTGGCTTTTCAGGAGCCTAGGAAAGGACCTCCTAGCAGGCAGACTCACTCCACTGCACTGCGCCAGCCCTTCCTGCCTGGCCATGGGTGTCCTCAGTAATGCTGCCCCACATACCCCTACTACTGAGTGTACCCTGAAGACTTGGCACCTCTCTTTCCCTATTACCAGAGCCAATCATCATTGGGGAGATGCCTGGGCTCCTGTGTGTAGGTAACAGGGACTTGATCTAGGATGGATCAACCTGGAAGAGGAAGACAGCCTGGACATGACCACCTGCTCACTGTACCTTGCTTAGTGAGTGGTAGATTATGCGCAGTAGGCACTTACTCTCCTTATCAATGGGTAAAGGGAGGGGGAGACCTGGACCAACTTGAAACTCAGTACCAGCCTCTATTCTGCCATGATGGATGAATTCTCAGTGAGAGCGTAGACATGAACTGTAGCGTAGACTGAGTGTCTTTCTACCAAACAGATAGGAACCAGTGTGGGAGAGTACACTCCTAAGAAGCAGAACAGTCCCTTACATCTGTGACTCAGCTCTTCAAAGACATTTTCAAGAGGAAACCAAAGCTCTGCCTCAGAGATTCCCTCAGGTTTGAAATAAGCATTGAGAAGGAGAGGACCCAATGGACTCATGTGCCATTCTGAGAACAAGGCTTGTGAGAGGAGACTGCCACTGTCTGTGGGCTTGTTTTTCCCTATGAGAACTTACCTGAAGTAGCCAAAGCCTCCCTTCCAATAAAAGAAAAATTCATCTCTCTGAAGTAATGCTATAGAAATTCCTTTTTGCTGCTGCATCAGATTTAGCACAAAAGTGTCATTGGATTAAGCTGCTTACAGATCCTGTTTGCCCACATACAACATTTTTGACACATTTGATCCCTCACTAGTGTCTTTAGAAGAACATAGGCTCTGAGAGACGGTTTACTAATGGAGAAGGGGTGGGTGCCCCTTGTAGGGGAAGCTGTAGCCACGCCTACTTAGGGGCTGGCTACAGGTGTGCCTGACCACGCTTGCGAGGGCGTGGTCAGGGTGACATAGAGTGACTGGGTTTTTCTCTTTCGGTTTCACTTTTGGGCTTGTGTACAGACCACTGCCATACTGACTGCCTAGGTTGCTCTGTAAGTAAGACTTTTCCCTATTAAATACCCTTCTATTTCCACTTGGCTCCGTATTGGTAATTTCCCACTATAGCCCCTCCCAATGCAACCATATAGATTTTCAGCTACTGCACAGATCAACCCATTGAGGAACCAAAGATATCCACTTGGGATAAGCTAAGTGAATGGAGCTCTGCAGTTCCACAAACAAATTGTGACTCAGAAGAGGACACAAGCAATCTGTGTCTGCTGTCAAGGAGACAGAAGCAGCACCAGGTGTCCCGAGACAGCCACGTGTACCTAAGCAGACAGGGAGCTTGGAAAGTTCATATGCAGATCTATTGCACACACTGCCTTGTACTGGATTTGCTTCAGATCACAGGGAATCCCCGTTCCTGGGGTGTGATGGACCATTAGGAACCAGAAGCTCTTCTGCAAGGGAGACCAGAAGGCACAGTTTTGCTCAGGGACTCTGCTTGGGTGGACTCCATCTTCTCCAGAAGCTTCTGCCCTCTCCATGGCCTCAGATGCCCAAATTGAATAACAGAACAACTTCAGCTTCAATGACAAGGACCCTTTGAGATTCCCTCCTCCACTGTCCCTGGGCTTCTGGAACATCATAAACACCAGGTTCTTGCAGGCCTTTTGAAGAACTGTTTACGAGATCACTGAATAGGACTCTTCCTTTCAGCCTGCAGTGTATCTGCCCCAGAGAGATCTGCAGGTCCACTGATGGGATCTGTGAACTCCCTGTGCCATCAGCTGTACAGGAGTTTTTTGAACTAGTAGCACTAAAAACAATGTTGGACTTTAGTGATTTGAGAAAGAGCTCCATTGACGACAAAGTAACCACTTTCTGCAAAGGTATTACCTAAGTCTGCACTCATGTGAATCAGACAATACAGCCATAAGAAGCACAGAGCTGGCCACGAGGATTTTTCATGCAGAATGTAATATTAATCATTTGTCTCTATCCAGTGGGATCTTGTATTACACAGACAAAGTTGCCTAGAAACAACAGATAGTTTGCAGGTGTCCAGGACTGGGAAAACACAGCTAGTTAGTGAATGCTTGGGTCTTAAATGGCTGTGATGACTGAGGAAACTGTGGGGCATTTGCTATGAAAAACTCTTTTCCATACTGAAAAACATATTATGAATATTGCATGGGTAGTTCAACTGGGTGACTGATATTTTAAATCAGTTGTTCTAAGAATTTTTCTATAGCCTTCCGAAAGTAGTGATGTTTGTACCTAACTAGAAATCAAGCATTGAAAGTACCAAAAAAAGGGGCTCAGAGGTTAAGAGCACTCACTGATTGCTCTTCCAGAGGTCCTGAGTTCAATTCCCAGCAACCACATGGTGGCTCACAACCATCTATCATGAGATCTGGTGCCCTTTCCTGGTGTATAGGCAAACATGCAGACAGAACACAGTATATGTAATAAAAATAAGTAAATAATTTTTTTAAAAAAAGAAAGTACCAAAAAAAAAGATAAAAGCTTGCTTTTCGATTAGAGAAAAAAATGCAATATTTCTGGACACAGAGCACTGTGAAGTATTGATGTGTTTTATGGTCATTCTCCTTTTTGCCTCAGAGAAAGAGACTCTCAGGTAAACCAAGGTCTCTAATGTAGCTCTTCCAATGTCAAAGTTAAAGGTTAGTAGTAAAGTTCTGTTGCAGAGACTTCAGTATTCATGTGGGATGAGGGCTCTGGCTTCAGACGGCATGCATTTGGAGTTTTTGTGGGATTTTTTTTTCTAAGTTGACACATTCACTGCACACATTATCATCAGAGTTGGATCTGTTCCTGTGCTCTTGAGCTTGTGAAACCAGATTGAAATGAGATTAGAAGATTCCCAGACACACCAGATGAAAGTGACTCCACTGGTTGCAGATGTCAAGTTACGTTAAACTATAATAACCATTTGGATGGCAGTATTTATCTCTTCTTCAGCTCATAGCTTAATTACTTGAGTACAATTTACCTCACTTTCATGCAATTAAGTCTTCACAGAAAACCCAAGTTGTAGATTTATAAAAGGTATGTTAAATCCATAGTGTCTAGAAATAATGTTACTTGGCAACTTTTTGTTCTTGGAATAGTACATACTACAACTTGAGCTAAAGCTTTGGGAAGTACTGTCGCATTCCAGTGCTGCTGCTCAGTGTGGAACTAAGTTCTGGGCTGTGTCCTAGACATTTGAACTACAGTAGCCGAGTCCATTTTCACAGTCTGACACTGTACCCTCTACCCTCTGGCGATTACTCCTGAGGTCCACACCAGCTGTTGTAGGGGTTATTTTAGATCCTTTTGCCTATCTTTAGGACACTGAAATAAAGACTGTATTTCTTTGCAACAATAATCCTTTGACTCCTATTGTCTGTGTTCTCCTTGCTGTGTCTTGTTCTGACTGCTTTTCCCATGCTAATCAAGTATGTTTGCTGATGCCTGGTCACTGGGGGGGTACCTGGGTCGGGGAAGGGCAGGTACTGAGCCCCAGGTAGCAGGGATCTCCAGCTGAGATCATAGACATTCAGTTGTCCCTACAGGTACCATTGGCTCCAGTGGTCACTGGTGATATGGTGGGAGATGGCTGAATGGAGAGGATGCTGCCACCCAAATGCAGAGAAAGCCACTGGTAGGGGGAGGGGGAGCCTAGGGCCTAGAGGGCAGGCCTTCTTTCTTTTTCTTTCTTTTTTTTTTGGTTTTTCGAGACAGGGTTTCTCTGTGTAGCTCTGGAGACCCGGCTGACCTTGAACTCACAGAGATCCGCCTGCCTCTGCCTCCCGAGTGCTGGGATTAAAAGTGTGCACCACCAACACCCGGCTACTCTCCCACACTCTTGTATATTACCCCAATAAAACTCAATGGTCCACTTACCTTTAGAGATGACTAAGAATAAAAGGGTACCATCTGGTATTTCAGATGATTTGGTTTGAATTCCTAGCACCGTCATATGGATACTCAATCTGTGACCTCACTCCAGGGCATCCAATGTACACTTCTCATTTTCCAGCAAAAGTAATTTGCACATTGCACAAACTTGCAGACAAAACACCCAAAAAGAGAAAACAAACAGAATCATTATTTGTTCA